TAACCCAGTGAAGCCTCAGAAGTTTGACTGATCCAAAGGGGAGGTAGCACAAAGTAACACAGTGCAGACCACAGCAGCTTGACTAATCCATAGGGGAGGGGCCAGCATATGCTGTCCTTGCCTGCAACTCACTAGCAGATGGCAGTGAGAAGGGGCACCCAGCCAGCGTGCTTCAGAAGAATTGTTACCAACAAAGAAAGAAACTGAGGCCTCCTGGAAGGAGCAAAAAAGATGGGAAAAGGAAGCAACAACAAAAAGTCCCCAGGTCCCAACCCTGAGAACACTAACCCAGGATAGGTAAATACAAAGGACAATGAGAACAGCAAACATGCAATATCAGACACAGTGCCAGTGGACATAAAGAGATATATTCAGGACCTCACAGATGAGTTCAAAAGTGAAATATTTAGCCAAATAAAGCAAGATATAAGATTAATAAAAGAGACACTAAGCACCCCTCAAGCAGACACAGACGAAAGAAGGGAGGAACTCAAACAAGAATATATAAAAAAAAAAGAATATAAAAAAATATAGCATACATGAAGCAGATTCAAAGAGATCACCAGGAAATTAAAAACTCTATGGAAAGATGGCAAATCAGCTTGAAAGAAACTAAGGATAGATTATCCAAACTGGAGGATAATTTTGCAATGTGGGAGTATGAAAGGGAAAACTTTTAAAAATAACAAGGAAACAAGCAGTAACAATACAAAAGCTAGAAGACAACAAAAGGATCTATAACTTGAGAATAAGAATGTGAATGAAGAAGCTGGGGTACAAACAAAGGAAATACAAAGATTATTCACAGAAATAATTAAGGAAAACTTCCCAAACATAGGAAAAGGAAATGACATTCTGATATATGAGGCATACAGAACTCCAGCCATCTACAACCAAAACAGAGCTACACCCAGGCATATAATAATCAAGATACCAGAAATTCAATATAAGAACAGAATATTAAAAGCTGTTAGAGACAAGAAACAGATCACCTATAGAGGAAGGCCCATCAGAATAACAGCAGACTTCTCGACACAAGCCTTCAAATCAAGAAGAAACTGGAGTGAAATATTCCAAGCCCTGAAAGAAAATAACCTCCATCCCAGACTGATATACCCTGCTAAACTGTCTCTAGAAATTAATGGAGAAACAAGATGCTTCCAAAACAAAGAGGAACTTTGAAATTCACAACCACCAATCCAACTCTACAGAGAATACTGCAGGGCATTCTAGAAAGAGAAAAGTACTAGGAGTCCAGGAATAGTGGCAGAGAGGCCTCAATGAATGGAGCAGTAAACAGAATGAAGAAGATAAGCAGACAACTGGTGGCAAAAAAAGAGCATAACAGAAATGAGGCAGAGAAGATTTTATTCAAAACTGATATGATTGATACTATCAAGTCTGAGAGTATAGGCAACTACACTAAAGATGACAAGACTCTACGATACACATTCTAGTTTGATAACTGCTGGTTTTTGAAATTCTATACTATATACAAAGTTGTTTTTATTAATACTGTTATGTACTGATATATTCAATTATACTATGTCTGATGATATAGTCATTGGATTGGACAAAACAAGAGACAACTCAGGAACCATGGTAGAACTCTTTGTGCAACAGTCTTTCTTATATGTTTATTCTGTTTCATGTATTTATAGGCATATGTTTTGTTTTTCCTTGCTTTGTTTTGCTTCTCCCTCTAATATAGAAAGGGTGAAAATACATGTTAAGACTCATGCATGGGTAGAATCTATAAACAGTTTATGAGAACTGATCTTATGACATATAATGAAATGAACAGATACTTTGAAGAAAAAGAGACACTAAAATACCCAGTTCTGATGCTGGAGTGTCATAATGTGAAACCTTTGCTCTATGCTTAAACATACAACATATATATTTAAGCATATAGGGTTGATAACCATATTTCTAAGTTTTTGTTGGATAGTTGAACAGAACTGTTTGCATTCTCACTGTTTGAATCCCCACTTTATATGCTCCACTTTAGTATCTTGAATAACTATTTGTAAGAAGATAATCTGTAATCAACTAGTGATTTCTTACTATTTATTTTTTTCTTTGAAATTATGTATTATTTCTACCCATTTTCTGTTTTAATCTTTCTTTAAATTAAATTTTTAAAAAAGACACTACAGTACCCAGTGCTGATCACAGAGTATCATGATGTGAAATCCAGCAATACTATTATTCTTTGTTCAGAATGATTTTAACCTGCTTTAATTTGTTTAATCTAAACATAAATGAAGGTATGGATAACTGCATGTATGTTTAAGTGTATAAGATTGACAACCAGGTTACTAAGTTTTGTTGGACAGTTGAACAGAACTGTTTGCGGTCTCGCTGTTTGAATTCCTACTTTACATGTTCCATTTTTGTATCTTGAACAACTATTTGTAAAACAACAATATGTAAACATCAACTAGTGATTTCTTACTGTTTATTTTTTTCTCTGAAAGTGTGTATTATTTCCATTTTCTGTTTTGTTTAGTCTTTAAATAAAATTTTAAAAAAAGAAAGCAAGGAAATATAAGTTGAGCCAAATCAAATGAACTTAATACATATTTATTAGAGTGTTCCACCCAATAGTAGAATACACATTCTCAGCAACACCAGAGACTTTCTCCAAAATAGACTACTTCCTAGTTCATAAAGCAGGTTTAAATAAGTGCAAAAGAATCAAAATTATCCCTTGAATATTATCAGATTATAGTGGCATGAAAAAAGAAAGCATTGACAAAAGAAACCACAGAAATTATGCAATTGAATAATGTATCTTTGAATCATTAGTGGGTCACAGAAAAAATTAAGGAAGAAATTAGTTCCTGGAATCAAATTATAATGCTAGTACAGCATACCAGACTCTATGGGACACAATGAAAACAGCCTCAAGAGGGAAGCTTATAACTGTGAATGACCACAGCAGAAAAAAGAGTGAGTCCAAATAAATAACCTAGAAAAACAAGAATAATCCAAGGCCAAAGGTAATACAAAGAAGAAAATTATAAAGAAAGAGAACCAATGAAATTCAAACTGAAAGAAAGAATTCACTTTACAAGCTTTAATTTTGTGACTTGAACAATTATTTCTAAGATGACAGTGTGTAATCCATTAACTAGTGATTTCCTACTGTTCATTTTTTTTCTGCAAATCTGTATAACTTGTACCCTTTCTCTGCTTTTTTTTTCTTTTCTCCTTAAATAAAATTTTTTTAAAAATGCAAAAAAAAAAAAGAAAAAAGAAAGAATTCAAAGAATCAATGAATTGAAGAGCTAGTTCTTTGAAAGAATAAGCAAAACAGACAAACTCTAGTCAATTTTAACAAAAAAAAGGAAAGAAAAGATTCAAATCAATGCAATTAGAAATGAAAAAGGTGAAATCACAAAAGACACTGCTGAAATCCAGAAGATTTTTTTTTTCATTTTCATCAGTACCAGGGATCGAACTCATGACTGCCTGCTTGCAAGGCAGACACTTATGCCACAGAGCTAAATCCCCAGCCTCTGAAGTCTAGATTATTAGTAACTACTTTGAGAACATACATTCTAATACACTGAAGAATTCAGAATAAATGGATAGATTCCCAGATATATATAAACTAACAAAGCTGGACCAATGAGACATAAAAAAACAGCATTAGTCAATGAGTGCCAGACAGCAACAAATTTGTCAGGCTGCTGGGAAAAGGGACCCTTCTATATTGCTTATGGGAATGTAAACTAGTACATCTACTATGGAAATCAGTATGGAAGTTCCTAAAAAAACTAAAACAAGTAATTCCATTCGATCCAGCTGTTCCTCTCTTATGTGGCCTCCCAAAAGAGTTCAAGACACCATATTACAGTGATACATACATACACATGTTTATAGCAGCACAGTTCTCAACAGTGAAATCTTGGAAGCCTATATGCCTACCAGTAGATGAATGAATAAATAAAGTGTGGTATTTATATAAATAGAGTATTCTGCCAAAAGAAGGATAAACTTGTCATTTATAGGAAAAGGAATGCACCTTGAGACCTTGAAATTACGTGAAATAAATGATATGCAAGCTTAAATATTGCATGGTTTCTCTGTCTGAGAAACCCAAAATATAAACAAAGATTAAAATTAAAGATAGATAATAGGAGTAAAGAGGAAAAAAGAAGTTTGGAGAGCAAGCCTGGGGGGGAAAGTACAGCTGGGAAGGAAGAGAGAGAGAAGAGCATAAGAACAATGAAGGTATGTTCTGTACATGTACCAACTCTTCAGAATGAATATAATCATTATTACTGCAAACATGTAATAGTAAAATTATAAAAAGAGACTCATGGATTCATTGGTTGGGTTTTTGAAAGGTGACTGGATTATGGGGTGCTATAAGTAACTTGCTGTTTAGGAGGTGAGGTCTGATCAGAAGCACTGGAGTCATGACTTGGAAGGGTACCTCTCTTTTCCTGATTCCTCCTTTCATATGTTCTAATTTCTGGCCACCATGAGGTGAGCAGCTTTCCTTCACCCAGACCCATCTACCACACTGTTTCTATGTTTGAACTGCTGAACATGAGTGAAACTTCTAAAATGTGAGCCATAGTAAACCATAAACCTCTTGTCCTTTAAGTTGTGAGTGTTGGGTATTTTGTCTCAGTGATAAGGAAGGTGACTAAGACACTCATGCTGATCCATTTGAGTGGCTCTCTTACATGCTATCAAGCCCATTTCATTGCAAAGTCATCTTGTTGCAGATTAAAAAACAGAGTAGGGGTTATATTAAGAATGTTGTGAAATATACTTTTATCCTCCCTTGAAATGTTGCTATAAAATATCATCTTTGTATTCCTGCTTTCTGCTTTCAAAAGCTGTTTGGAAAACATTCCTAGACTATTTCACATTCATCATGAAAGCATATAGATTCTGCATAGCATATGAAAATTGAAATGAAACATTCTAGTGGTCCCCTGTCCTGACTCTGGTATGTGGTGGCAGATGTCCAGCCTCACCTGACCCAGCCAAGATTTCTTTCGTTGTCTCATTTCTCTTTCAAGAGAACCACAGTATGGTTTCCATGGTTCTCATACTTTAGCTGCAAAAAAAAAAAAAAAAAAAAAATCACCTAACGAACAGCTGTAAAACGTAGAAACAAGTCTTGTTCACAGGGATTCTGTTCACTAAATGTAGGGTGGGGCCACAGAATGCAGATGTTTGAGAAAAAACTTCAAGACTTTCTATTGCAGACTTTCTAGAAGACCCTTGAGCATCCTTGACCTACCTGTATTTCCTTATCAGATCCTTTGAATGGACACACTTCACTGTCTCTGAATTATGAGCTTTGTCCTTTCATTTGAGTGATTTGCTCATGGATACTTTGACATACTCCTCCCTATCCAATGTGCACATTCTACTTCCACCCCATACAGAAGACGGAAAGAACCTCAAGAGCAGCCCTGATCATAGTCTTCCCTAGACTCTCTTGAATTGCCTGTGAACAGTCTTTTGAGTCCCTTTAGAAAAGGCCCAGGGCCCTTGATACCAGGTCTGGTGAACTGGGTTGATAATTTTAAGTATAAAAATTACAGTTCAAAATCTAAAGTGATGTCTAATTATAGCATTTATTATAACTGAAATTCTGACTTGGGTCATAAATACATCTGTAGATTATATGAAGAATTAAAAAAAAAAACCATTCTCTACAACAACAGTGGCTAGCACAGCCAGGCTGTCCTAGGATAGACAGATAAGCTGGTAACAATCTGCTGTAGTTCTTAAAGGTTGGATGGCTATGTTTATGGCTGAATGTCTTGTTTGATTGATGCCTCTATTATGTTTCTTCTGAAGAACAAAACTCTTGTGAATATTTCAATTTGAAGTAATGTTTTAAAATCAAATCTTTAGGGGCTAGGGATTTAGCTCAGCCACGTAAGCACCTGCCTTGCAAGCAGGCAGTTTTGAGTTTGATCCCCAATACCGATAAAAAGGGAAAAGACAAAAAAAAAAAAAATCAAATCTTTATAGATTATAGTAATAGTGTTTATAATTGACATAAGTCACATGGCTCACATTCTAAGTGAAAGATGATAGAAAGCCAGGTTAGTGTTTTTTCTACTACATTCACTCCAGGCATTAATTCATAATAGGCATGTAATCTCTGTGTTGTGTCTACCTGTTACAGGCAATTCCTTCCAAAACACGCATAAGGTTAGTAATTTAATATGCCAAATATTTCAGCGAAAAAGATGCCTTTAGTTTTCTTGGCCATATCCTCAGACTGGTTTCCTACAGATGGTATTCTGCTGATTCATTTCCTGATGGTGCACTTGAGTTGACTGTTATTTTCTTTTGTAGAATATTATAAATTGGGCAGTGATGGGTGGGCTGGGTTTACTGCTGAGAAAGAACACATTAGCTAACAATAAGAAGCATATGATATAGGTTCACCAAATAGGCTGAAGATATATTTATAAATAACTGAATGTCTGGGAATATAGATAATTTATTTTTAACCATGCAAAGAATTTAAACTAAATATAAAAATACTCATGTATATATTGCAAAAATCAATACACCACTTAAATTTGTTTATTTAAATTCTAATTTGGTAGGCAAAGAAAGTGGTGCACTCTCAGACCTCACTACACCTAATTTGTCAGCGGAACACTATAAATTAGCGGAATACTCATGACTCCTGCTTTCCTTCCTTTTGTTTCCAGAACACTATGGAAACTTACTTTTCCTCCTACCACCCTGATTGCACTACTTATAAACTACCTTTGCTGGCTCTTTTTCTTTTGCCTAATCTCTTAGCATTGTAGCAATAAGAATTTAAACCTTGCACCTCAACCTTGCACATTTCAGATGACTGTATCCCAATTACCTAGTCAACATTACATGTGGATAACTAATGTCACACACTAAAGGTGTCCAACAAATAATAATCTTAATTTACATCCCTTAATTCCTCCTATTGTTTCTTTTCTCATGTTAACAAAAGCCAACTTCTTTATTCTCTGTGCTAAGGTCCAAACCTCAACATTATAGTTGACTGATTTTCTTTTCTTAAATATACATATTTGATTCATGTATTTATGTATTTTTATTGCAGTATACCATTATGCTTTTTGACAGGGTAATTAGAACATACCATTAATGTTGTTCTTAATAATAAATAAATGCTATTTTTCAAAGCCTCTAAAACTCCTATTTTGCTGAATCCTAATTCTTAATTAGGATATGTACAAAAATGAAACACATGAACTCTATTGCCGTTGATAATAGTGTTATGAAGGAAAATCAAAGCAAAGTAGTGGGGGTGAGAGTCTTTGTCTATGATGGAGGCTTATTCTTTATGTAGTAGGGCACCTTTGTTGGGATGGGTAACATTTGATCAAAGATCTGAGGGCACAAAAGGAATTATATCTGAAAGGAAGAACTCTCCAGGACAAGGACACGTAATGTGTAAAGGCACTTCTGGTGGCAATATCTTGGATAATACCAAGGTTTTGGTCTGGACAAACATACAGATTCCATATCCAATTTATAAGAAAATCCTATTGGTTCTTCCTTTGAAATATAATCTGACAACATTACCACTCTGTCATATTCCTAGTCCATGCCCCTACAACCTCTACTTCACCATTTCCACAGCCTAATTACTGGACCCCTGTCTTTTTTGTCCCTTACACTCTTCTCAACACAGCAGCTAGAGTGATCCTCTTAAAACTTAAGCCCTATCGCATCACCTCTTTGCTCACAACCCTCCACTGGTTTTACAAATCACTCAGCATAAAAGCCATAGTTCTTCTGGTGGTTTACCCAGCCCCTCCTCTAGTGCCACCTTGTCACCAACACTCTTGCACTTGCTCACTCTGCCCCAGCCCCTCAGGCTCTTCTGCTGTCCCTCGAACCTCCCAAAGATGTTGTCACCTCAAGCGACTGCACATTTTATCTCTTTGTACTAGAAAACACTGCCCGCTCTGCCTTCAGATCTCTGATCAAACGTTACATTCTCCATGAAGGTTTCTCTAATGATGCTGTATAAAGTATAGTCTTCATCTTACTATTTCAATCTGAACTTTTCTGTCCTGGTGTGGTTTCCTTCATAAAATTTATCATCAACTAAGGTAGAGTTTATGTATTTCACTGTCTAACTCTTAAGGAGCAATTAGGATTCATTACAGTAAGGGTTTGAAAGGTGTTGGAAATCAGTATTTATTTATCACTAAGAATATCTTGCATGATAAGTACTCAATAATTTTTTGTTGGAAAAAGTAATGATGTATCAGAATAAAGATATGTAAGTACCTGAATCAAATATACATCTCCAATATTTCTCTCCAACTTTTACCTCCAGCTGCTTGTGACTTTGTGTATTATACCTCTCAAACTGTATCAAGTTAGTCTGTGTAACTATGTGATGGTATGTGATTTCTGAGATCAGCTGACAAAAGTCATTTAGTTCACACTTTTCTCTCTTGGATCCCTGACTGACTCTGAGTGAAGCCAGTGGCAATGAAGGCACTCAGGAAGCCTATGAAATGCATTATGTGGCAGGCAACTAAAATCCTTGCCCCAACAACCAACACCATTTTGCCAGCCATAGGAGAGGGTCATGTACAAATGGGTTTGCGAGTCCCAATTATGTCTTCAAATGGCTGAATCTCTGGCCAATGTCTTAACTAAAACATTATGAAAGATTCTATGCCAAAGCCACTAAGTTTACAGTGTTTCCATATTTCTGACCCAAAGAAGAGCATAGAATATTTTTAATTTTTAAAATTTTAATTCCTAAAACTTACTGTTTCTTCATAGTTATATTTTTGAAGTAACTTGTCATGAATCAGTAGTAACTAATATAGCATTAATTAATACCTGGATTTTTGTGGCTGGAAATACTATAACAAAAATATAAAATGTGAATCAAAACTTTGGATTTGAATAGTGTGTAGGAACCAGGATTTGAAAGATAGTTGTGTAAAGAATGAAAGATCTTGAGAGAGACAGCAGAAGTGTGATATTCTTTAAGGTTGCTGCCCTTGAGGGGTTAATGGAAAGTGAGGAAAGTGTTACTGGGCATGACAGAAAAGGGGATCTTAGTCATATAATGTTAAAAATGTAGTAGGGCTATTGCCTATGATAATGCAGAAAAAAATAAAATTTACTTATTGAACTGGAGACTCTTATTTTAAAAGATTTCCAGGCAGAACATTGAAGGTACTTCCTGGCTTAGTTTTGCTATAAAATATGGTTGAGGGGAGAAAAATAAGCTAAAGCAGAGCTATTCATCAAAAGTAAAAGATCCAAGAATTCCTGGATTTGAGCATTTCTAATCTCTCTAGATGTCAAATGACACTAAAATTTACAAAAGGCTCTAGGCAAAGATTAAATTCTGAACTCTCACAGGAAAGCATGATATAAAAATAAAGCCTATGATGTGGCTGTAAAGTCTCTTGTTAAGGCCTCAGAAAAAAATCAAGGCAATGTCAGAAAACTATTGAGACAAACAATGGAGCTTCTAATGAGGTTAAAAGGTGATGTTCCCAAGCAGTTTCAACAGAAGCCTGAGACACAGGAACACTTATCACAAAAGAGTTAGGGGCATAGCTTTTAACTAATGTAATGAACATCAATAATATTTATAAGAGTGGCACAGTTTTAACAGAAAAATATTAGCAAAAGCATTTCCAGCATGAACAAATGAGACAAAAAATATACAAAATAAAGAGGCTTTTCAACTCCAAACTTTATAAGCAGGAAGGTTTTCACAGCAAAGAAAAACTGTTTTGGAGGGCAAACCATAAGCACAGAAGGTGGAGCCAAGAACCACAGAATTATTCTCAGGGCCTGGCTCTCAATGAAGGGACTATCAACAAGGGACCTGCTAAGTTTCAAAAATGTTATGGGCCAATGGCTCTCACTTACTATCTTTCTTTTGATGTGGTTATCTTATGCTTGTGCTTCTACTGTATATTGGTTTTTTGATGGAGGCAGACAACTTATTTGTCACAGGCTTTCACATCAAGAGTAAAGTGTATTAAAGTTATTGAACTCAGAGAGTCTCATTTGTGCACAGGTTGGTTCAGGTAATGACACTTTGGACTTTGAGCTGACACTGTGATAAGATGAAAGTTTTGGGGGAATTTGGACAGAGATAAATACATTTTGCATATGACAGGTCATAAACACTTGAGAACCATACGATGCACTATGATAACCCATCTCTGAAATGGCCTTTGATGAACTCTTTTTCTGGGATTCATACCCCCCATAGTCACATAGACAACAAATGGGGCTGATCCATGTAAGTAATAGGACATTTTAAAAGAATGGTAGGTGGTTCCATGGTTAGGTTATAAAAAACACTGCAGCTCCCAACTTTCTCTCTTGAATCACTTACCCTGAGAGAAATAAGCTACTATTTACTATATGAGCATACTCAAGTAGCCCTGTTCTTTTGAATTTTTTTATCCACAGAAACTATATGAGATAATACGTGTTTATTGTTTTCTTAAACAATTAAGTTTTGGAATTATTTTGTATACAGCAGTAGATAATTGATACACACAAAACCTACAACTTCACCATCTATTTAGATCTTAAAGCATCACTGAAGCATTTTAAGAATGTTAACCTTAAGTGTGTTTCAGACTGACTGTCCAGTCACAGATCACTAGAGGTTGATCTGTGCTGTTGTTTACTTACCTTGTGACTGAGACAAAATACCTGACACCTACAAGTTTATTGTGGAGGAATGGTTTATTTCAGCTCAGAGTTTGTAAAGGTTTCAGTTCAAGGCTCCAAGGAGGCAAGGTGGCATCACAAAGGAGAAACAGCTCATCGAGTAGCAGGCAGAAGGCAGCCAGCAGCAAGCAGCAGCAGCAGCAACTGTCAAGCCTCCTTCTATGTTTCATCCAGCCTGTAACCCAGTTGATTGGTGCCAGCCACACTCAGGTCAGGCTTCCATCAGCCACACACAGAACTATGCTAATTTCAATCATTGGACTAATTTAGTACCATAGCTTTAATCCCAGTATCACATACCCTAGATCTAACCAGCTCTGAAAGCCCCACCTATGACTACATGAATCTTTGGGAAGACTTCTAGATACACTGCACAGTTGTTAAGAAAATATTAGCTAACTTTCTATTTTTTTCTTTTTCATTTTTATTGGTACCAGGAATCCTACTATTCTTAATATGTTATTTTATAAAGTTTCAAAGAAATATGAAGTGCATCACTAATATGGCTTCACTCTCCAGAAAGAACAGTCAGCATCAAGAAATCAAATAATAACTAACAAATGCTAGTATGACTGCAGGGAATAAGGACCTCTTCTACACCATTGGTAGGGCTGTAAACTAGTACATTCACAATGGAAATTAGTATGCACATTTTTCAACAAACTAAAATTAAATATTCTATTTGATCTAACTGTTCACCTTTTAGGTTTCCTGCTGAAAGAGTTAAGCATGTAGTATTACAGTGATGCATGCAGATTCATATTTATAGCAGCACAACTCATAATAGCTAAATCCTGGAAGCAGGCTCTATGTCTGTCAACAGATGAATGGATAAAGCCAATGTAGTATTTGTACACAGTGAAGTAGTGGTCTGCTGTAAGAAAGATAATCTTGAGTCATTTGTAGGAAAATGGATGTACTTAGAGACCCTAAAGTTAAGTGAACTAAATCACACAAGCTTAAATATTACATGCTTTCTCTTATATAAGGAACCCAAAATATAAATAAAGAGCAAAATAAAAGATAATAGGAAACAGAGAGGCAGCTATTTTGCAAATGGAAAGAGGACCAAGAGATGGAGGGAGGTGGAAGGGAGAGGAGGGAAAGCGGATGTAGAAAGAATTAAAATGTGCTATGCACATGTTCCAGCTCCTCATGATGAATGTAATCACTATGTACTAAAATATATGCAACAAAAATACAATGTTTAAGAGATCATAAAAATATGAATTCTCTCGATCAAGAAGTATCAGATCTAGGCACAGTGGCACACTTCTATAATCTCAGCATTCCTGGAGGCTGAGGCAAGTGTTCAGTTCCCACCTGAGGAACTTAGTAAGACCTTGTCTTGAAATAAAAACATAGAAAGGACTAGGGGTGTAGCTCAGTGCAAACGGCCTGGATTTAATGTATGCTTTAATTTTGTAACTTGAACAACAATTTCTAAGACGACAATATGTAATCTATTAACTAGTGATTTCCTACTGTTTATTTTTTCTGAAATTATGTATAACTTGTACTCTTTTTCTGTTTTTTTTCTTTTTTCTCCTTAAATAAAATTTTTAAAAAATGAAATTGGACCTTTGCCTCTATCATACACAAAACTTAACTCAAAGTAGATCAAAGATCTTAATGTAGGAGCCAAAATTATAAACTCTTTGAAGAAAACATAGGAGCAAATTTTTATGACTTTGATTTTAGTAATAGACTCCTAAGTATGGCATCAAAAAAGTGACAAAAGAAAAACAGATACACAAGACTTCATCAAATGAAATTTTTATATGAAATCAAAAGAGAAATTAAAAAATATCTTGAGATGAATGACACTAGAAATACAATACACCAAATGTAACAGGATACAGCAAAAAAAAGTTCTGAGAGGGAAGTTTATAGAGATAAGTGTCAATGTCAAGAGAAACAGAAAGATCTCAAGTAAACAACCTAACTTTATACCTCAAGAAACCAGAAAAAAGAACACACTAACCTCAAAGTTAGGAAAAGAAAGAAAATAATAAAGATCAGAGAAGACATAAATGAGCAAGAAACTAGAAAAACAACAGAAAAGATCAATAGAATTGTTTAAAAAAATAAACTAATACACGTTTAGCTAGACTAAGAAAAGATTCCACTCAATACAGTAACTATAAATTAAATAGAAAACATAACTGATATCACAGAAATAGAAAGGATAATAAGAGATTACAATGAACAATTACATATTAACAATTTGGATAGCCTTAAAGAAATGGATAAATTCCTGGAAATGCACACGCTATCAAGACTGAACAGAAATAGAAGAAATAGAAAATCTGAGCATGTCAGTAATGAGTCAGGAGATGTATCAGTGACCAAAAGTGATCACAAAGGAAACCCAGCATCTCAGAGCATGTAACAAAGTGCCCAGGAACAGAACAGAACATGAGCCTTTGCCACATCTTGCACTCAAACTTTTTAACTCTCCTGGAGGTGTTACTGCAGTGAAATGAGCTTCCTTCAAATAGTTGGCTTGAGAACACGCTCTTTGATGGGTGTGTTTGGTCATGGTTCCCTACAGTCAAATCTCTGAGTTAGGGGAGAGCAATGACATGTTCTGTGGAGACAAAGACAGACCTGACTTGGACCTTTGGACCTTCCATCTGTCAAGTGATGAACATTAACCCAGTAGTTGCTGCATACTCCTTTCAATTCCTCTCTGCTGGTCAAGAAGGACTGTAAGAAGTAATGGTTGATCATGTCTAAGTTACTTTTCTCTTGGTGATGAGACAAAATACTCAATGCCCAAAATTAAGGAAGGAACGTTTATTTAGCTTACAGTTTGTGGAGATTTCAGTCCATAATCAACTGGCTCCAAGGCAGGTGGCATGGCACAGGGGCAGCATTCGGGTCATCAAAATACAGCAAAAGCAGCAAGAACAAAAGTGGGGGGAGAACAAGCCTCTTTTCCTCCCTTATATTGTGTTCACATTACTCACCCTCAGCTGGGTGTAGCACTCATACCGTCTGGGTGCCGTCCTCTTGCACAGGCTCAGGATGTTTACAAAGTGAGAACCCTGGCCCTCTGCTGAGTTATTTAGTTAAGCTTTTAAACTTCTCAATTTGACATGTTGTATCAGTCATAATAATCTACCTCTTGTTAACTTGACAACAAGACACATTTCTTTAAATGGTTTCCAGATACAAAGACATGTTTGTTCTTATCATCTTACTTTAAACATTATAATACAGGTTTAGCAATCCTTAAAATCAGTATTAAGTGCATTAACATTGTATTACATTAGAACCATAATATTCTACCTCTGATCCCCCAAAGACACATGCACCTCCCTTTATGCAAAAGGAGCTTAGTCCATGTCTAAGTGTTGCTGAAGTCCTAACATTTTCACCATTGCTGAAAAGTCCAAGTCCTAAGTCTTCTCTGAGATGTAAGGCAAACTCTTACCTGCAACAAATGAACCTCCTAGCTGTACAAATGAAATTTAAACACTTCTGACATCCCATGGCACAATACAAATATTTTCATTCCAAAAGTTACAAACAGAGGGATACAAAGGAATGGGACCAAAGCAAGTCTGAAATCCAGCAGGGCAAAATTAAGTTCTGTAGCATCTAAGACAATCTAAGCATCCAAGCATCTAAGGTAATCTGTGACAAGTTGTGAGTTCCAAAAGCCTTGAGTAGCTCCACTCCTATGGCACTTCTCATGGTTGTAACTCCTATGGCTTCTCTCTTGGGCTGATTTTGCTCCCTCCTTATAGGTTTTCTCAGATGATCCATGATCCTGGCTTGGGGTCATTGTACAGAATGCTAGAATTGTAGGGTTAAGAAAGCTGCCACTCTGATTTCAGAAGGCCTGTGAGGCTACGCAGCGTGCCCCTGAGAGGGCAGTGTGTGACGTTGTGAGGGTGAAGCCAAAGGTGCAATGGAGACCCCAAAAGTTTGGAAAAGTAACTAAGACAGTCTGAAAGCAACAACTATATGCTACAGAGTAGCCAACTCCCAATGAGACGTGTGACACTCAGCAAAACTCAGGAGGTGTCCAATTCTGCTAGATTGACTTGGTGTTAAAGTAACTCACATCTTTAGAGGTTGGGGTCCTCTAGAATCCTTTTTGCTAAGGAATGTCAACTACAAGGGGAATCCCTGCATCACCATTTGTATAGAGTTAAAAGGAAATGCAGATTTGATCATTTGGTTTCTGTGTAACTTTGCAGTCAAAACGAAACTAGAATATGAATATTAGAGTGTGTGAACCTGCTTAGTATAAGGGCTAGATTCCCCTCTGACTGCTGTGCACTTGGGAAATCGTGCCTTGTGCTAGCAGCACTCAGTATGCACACTGTCCTTGTTACAAGTAACAAAGATGACTGCTGATGCTTAGAGCCTAGGGTTCTGTAGAATCCAGCAACCGTTTGTTTGGTACCAGAGTGCATGTTTTAGTGGTATTCACTATACATTTTCTGTATGTTTATATTCTTGTCCTCTGTGAATAGATTTGTTGCAGACTACTTTTCAAATGTTTTTTTTTTTTTCTCTCTCTCTAGTGAAAAAGAGCTATAGTATGCATTCATCATTGAGGAAAAAAAAAAGGCCAGATATGCTGGCACACATCCATAATCCTAGCATTTTTAGGAGATTGAAGGAGGATTTCAGTTTAAGTCCTGTGTGGGCAATTTTTTTTTTTTATGAGACAGGATCTCGCTATGCAGTTCAGGCTGGCCTTGAGCTCACTTTGTAGCCCAGGCTGGTCTTGAACTCGCAAGGATCCTTCTGCCTCAGCCTCCCGAGTGCTGGGATTACAGGCATGAGCTACCATGCCCAGCCTAAGTGCTGTATGGACAATTTCAGGAGACCTTGTCTCAAAAAATTAATAAATAAAAAATAAAAAGAGGTCTAGGTATTTGGCTCAGTGGCGTAAGCACCTGCCTGGCAAGCGTGAGGTTGTGAGTTCAATCTGTGGTACAAAAATATTTTTTAAAATAAATAAACAAACAAATAAAAAGAACTGAAGATGTAGCTTAATATGAAGGCCCTGGGTTCAATACTCATTGAGAGAGAGAGAGAGAGAGAGGACAGACAGACAGAGATACAGAGACAGAGAGAGACAAAGACAGAGACACAGAGAGAGAAAACAAGAGGAACTCTAGCTAACTCTACCCAACCCAAACACCACCACTGTCAACTTGTATAATATATTTCTTTATTCGATTTCCATTTAACAAGCCCACCTGATTAAGTGATGTTGATGTAACCTCCATTCTTTCTGGCAAGCATATGTCTGATGTTCTGACGAGCTTTAGTATATGCCACTGGCTGTCCAAGAGTGTATCTAATTACATCTCCTACCAGTTGAGTGACCTGTGTATTAAGTCAATTTTGTGTGTTTCAGGATGTGTTCCAGGATGTGCTGATAAAATTGCAGTGGAAAACTTGTAATATAATCATGAATGATGAATGAAAATATACGCAGAAAGGACATTCTTAAGAAAACCAAGTTGCTTTGAAAGACTGCAAAAAAGTGAGCGACATTCTTTGCCCCAAATTATTTTCCTCAGATGAGATATGGACAAGCAGCTATAAAAGTAAGTGTAAAAGTATACAAGTAAATCAGTAAAATGTAGCTGATTTCCCTCTTTAAATTTATATTCCACTAGAAGGAATCTCAGAAATTGTGGTTGATGCATTAGGGTGAGCGGCTAAGATGTTGGGTACAGGCTACAAAATGAAAGAAGGGTTCCTAAAGGCAAACAGTAACAACAACGATCGTGACAGTAAGTCCATATAGTGTTTACTTTGTGCCGTGAGTGTTCTATGCACTGGAGAAATTTGATTCATTTGTAAGTAGGTGGCATTTGTAACGTGAGAAACCTGAGGTATAGCAACATTAAATTGCTTACAGTGGATTATCCATCTGGTAAGCAATGGAGCAGGCATTTAAATTTAGACACTCTAGTTCTTTTATCTTTAATTTTTATTTATTTATTTTGGTACCGGGGATCAAACCTACGACTGCACGCTTGCAAGATAGGTGTTTAATGCCGCTGAGCTAAATCCCCAGCCCAACAGTAGTTCTTAGTTCAAGCCTTCCACCACTCCCTTCTACTAGCCCTCATTTCTACACCAAAAAATTTAAATGTTGCAAGTAAAAATAACATTAAGATATGTCTTTACCTTAAAAGATTCATTGTGGAAATTCTGAAACTCATATAAAAGTGAGAGAACAAGAATGTGAATCCCCATGTCTCCGACCCTCAGCTTCAATAATTACCAACTTAGAACTGATCTTCATCGCATCTATTGTACACGCACTTCCCTCTTCCTCTTGGATATAATAATGTGAATCTAATAGTCATTTTTCCTCATCTACAAATATTTCATAATGCATCTCTAAAAGACAAGGACTTTGTTTAAACAACAGAATCATGATACTACCAATCATACCTCAAAAATCAACGATATTCCTATTTAATCAAATATTCAGATACTATTTAAAATTTTTGATTATCTTAAAAATTTTGAGGAAGGCTTCCTAATATAAGATCACTGTAATTATTCTCTTAATTTGTATGATTCCCTCATCCCTTCTCCCCTTATAATTTATATATTGAAGAAACCAGGTACTTTGTCTTAAGGTGATCTGCATTTGGATTTTGTTGATTTATCTCCTTGGAAATTGGGAGCACCATATAAAGGCTCAATCTGGTTCAGGTTTTTTTTTATTTAAGGAGAAAAAAGAAAAAAAAAAAACAGAAAAAGGGTACAAGTTATACAGAATTTCAGAAAAAATAAACAGTAGGAAATCACTAGTTAATTACATATTGTCATCTTAGAAATAGTTGTTCAAGTTACAAAATTAAAACATATAAAGTGGACTTTCAAACAGTGAGACTGGAAACAGTTTTGTTCACTGAGCCAACAAACCTCAGTAATATGGTTATCTATCTTATACACTTATATATATATGCAGTTATATCCTTTAGAGCACTTTCTTTTCCTTTCTTTTGTACAGTGACAATTACACATTTTGGGTTTTATTACTCCCACAGTTCTTATAGTTTTTTTTTTTTTTTTTGAAGAAAGTAAAACCAAATTTGACATAACAGGACAGAGTCAGTCAAATCAAAAGGATGGACATAATACATAATATAAAACCAAAATACAAGGTGATCAACAATGGTTACCATAATGCCTCTTGTTATCTTAAAAAGAATTGCCTATATCATCAGTTATAGTAAAATTGAACAAAACAATAAAGAATAAGACCAATAAAACCAAAACATTGGAGACATTAGAGGACTTCAAAAGAAGATAATAGTCAACCAGAATGGGCGTCTTATTGTCTTATAGTCTTCATATTTATTGTCTTCATAGTTGTTACCTATACTTATTGTCTTATTGTCTTCATAGTTGTTACCTATACTTTCGAACTCAGTACTATCAAGCATAACAGAATAGAGGAAAATCAGTCAAAACAAGATGGTGAGAACAATACAGGGTTTCAACTGGTTCAGGTTTTTAACAGTACTCTTTTATTGGTGATAGTGTGATAAACCCAACAAGAAGTATATACTGTCCAATTATATTCAGTTCTGCAACGTTGGCACCCATTGCTTAACTGACTATTTTATCAAAGGTGAAAGATGGTGCTATTGTATTATTCCTGCTTTGTTTGTTGTCTTGAATACTTGCATAAAAAAGAGATTTGCCCTCATCAATCATTTAATTACCCTAAATTCTGCACAGTAAAAGCAGGATGCATGCTTGCTTCCCTCTTGTTACCAGTTAAAAAAAAAAAAAAGAGTTTCTTTAGCTCCTATAAAGGTGACCAGTGAGAAGGGTTGAAGGGGGCATAATTTGAAACCGATAGATGTGTAATGTTGCTGTTGCATCTACTGCAGTTACTGATAGTTGATTGTATTGTCTTTAGCTGGCGGAGAATTCTTTTTAAAATCTGCCCACATATTCTGAGCGTGTCCTACTCTATGTATATTTCT